TTTACATCCAGAGTGTGGCTGGATGTTTGGAAAGGTTACATGGCAGAATATTCAACGAGAACGCCGAACTGTTGTAACAACATCTCAATTAGGAGCAACCAACTTCTCATAATTTATTAAGAAAACCGAACGCATTCTAATTTTATTTCCATTCCCGATATCTCTTGGTTTTCTGAATCACGAGAGTCCTTCAAAAACATTTCAATAATCCGGAAGAGTTCAGCTAGAATACATGAAACTTACGAGCATGAAGGGATGTTCTACTATTAGACAGTAGAATATGTTTCTCCATTTGTTGTGTCTTAGTGATTACCCTAAATAGGCATATAGGCTTTCTGTTCTGATTAGTTATTAGTCTGTATACTTCAGTGTGGTCAGTGAATCATGAGGTTGCAATCACACCGAGGTACTTAATGCAGTAGACGGGTGTCAGAAAACTTTTAGTCTTACAGTACTTTGGACGCCTGTATACTTAGCACTAGTTTCTAATGCTGAAATTCATTGGGTCCACTTACATTATCAAACCACTCAACTTTGGAGGAAATCTTACCAATTTTGGGAGATTCCGGCAAAGTTGCGAACGAAAACCGCAAAATTTCTACTGCTCTAAGGACTGTCTCCAAAATATGTTGAAATTTTGTGGAAAATCCCCTAAATCTGAAACTAGGGTTTCACCCCAATATTTTCACACAATTTATACCCAAGTTACATAGAAATGGGAGAAGTACAATCAACTCATTAAGAAATCTTAGGATTGCCACTGAGTTTGAGGAAATCTCGTAATATTCATTATGAAGTTCCCAGATTTTCCACACACCACGGAGAAATCCCCCAATTTTGACTGGGAAGACATGCCTCCTCTCCTTATTCGCAAATGAATTCTCATCTTTTCGCAAAATTATTCGTTTATTATTTGCCTCAGGAAAATAGATGGCACGGACCTTTCTACGTAGTACCATCAGCATACCTGGCTGGAAAAATTGCTTGAGAACTAAATAGCTGTATGGTTTTTAAACGATAATAACTAGACCCATAACTAAGGCTCGTTTACAATATCAATATATTGTCAAATTTTAAACATTTGTTAAACCTAAAACTACATTTTTAATTAAAATACTGACGCGTTATTAATGAAAATACATATATTTGAATCCAATCGTTTCTATACTAATATCATTTGGAAATGGGTTCTGGCTGATTTCCTAGCTTTTATCCGAGCTTACACGTAGATGTACCAACTATTGTTGTTTACCTGTTGTACTCGTTTTTTCCTTGGCTTACCAAGGCTCACGCTGTGTACTATTTGAACAGCATCCAACTGATTATATGGTGAATGCCCGGTCGCAAAGGTGAACACATACAATCCAACCGTTTTTCAAGGAGCTTAAATTTCGCTGTCGAAGCAATATACCTATTGACGTGTTATTTCCCGATAAATTCCAAGTTGTCAGAGGTCGTTTCGCAGTTGTTGAATGTAACTTAGCAATAGACGGGAGAGTGAATACAATGTCTGATTGGGAAAATAGACATCTTTGGGTTTCAAAGCCTGAACATACTAATAGCATTACTCTGTAGCGAATGCACGGAGACAGAGGTGACCAAAAACGTTCTTACCAGTCAGTCAACAACAACGTAGAACCTCGTACGTACGTACATCAGTTCAAGTTGTCATACCACATTAGCAGAGAGATATAATTGTCGATTCAAATGCCGTAGTGATAGAGGTAGTAAAAGTATAAGCAGTAATTGGGAAGATTAGGGTTCGAAGCTGATATTCAAGGAGTATAATCCAGTGAAATAATTTTAGGAAGAGAAAAAAAGAGACATGAAGAATTCAGAAGATTAGAATTTGGGAGAACACAAAGCCAATAACTAACCTTGTGGTCGAGATGAGTGGACAATGTTGTTAGTTAGTAAGCCACATGGGACGCAGGACCTAACAAATGTTCAAACTGGCACACTACATTAATGCTCATGAAATTCTCAAGGCAGATTGCAGAGTTGCAAGATCAATAGTGGTAGGAGACTACATGTAAAAAAGGAGGAAGTCTAAGATCTCAGGAACTAAGGGAATTAAAACAGTGGACGCACTTACGTCATTACGAACAACCCCAAGTCATGCCACCATTTTGTACAAATCTAGGGGTCCGTTAATCTAACTCTAGTTCAAAATAACGAATAAGTGTGCCATGAATGTGAATCTTCCATTTAACTCCGTATATTGAACCTAGGCTGATCCTGTTTGTGTGACGGTGGTAATAAGCCAAATATAGATTGAACTGGGTTTATTTTATACACTTGTTCACCCACTTGCATAGTTCGGTTGAATTCAGTCACCCCGTAGGTCGGTGTCGCATTCCCGCCTTCTTCCTACCTACTGGTATGCCATTCAACATCAATCGAGGTGAGCGTAGTGTAGGCACACGTGGTATGGGTGAGCATTCACAATCGATGGAGACTCACTACCTCACCAGACGATCTACCATATTTATCTAGTACTTTGCCCACAACCACAATGCCCACTCGATGAGCGCAATGTACACGAGACACCTGTAATCAAATAACTGCTATCTGAGAGCATCTTATAGTCGTGTTACGAAATCCGCCTTCCAGGTCGACCTTTAAATTTCAACCTGACATCGTCATATTCACGACAAGACTAGGATGTTATCCTTAACATACTACATCAGTTAACAGTAAAACACAAGGTAGGTGTCGGACTGATGCACCTTAGTAGACTCACTACCAATTCAGAAATGCAAGCCCGGTGTGACTTACTGTGAGTTTGAAATAAGCTGACGAAATGCTATTAGCTCCAGTAAGTCCAGAACTTCGACAAGACAAGAGAGAACTCAAGTTCGCAGTATAAAATTGTATTATTATTGCAGACTTAAGCACAACATAAAATGCATAATTGCGTAGTAAATATATTAATTGTTCACTACATTTACTAAGCACAGTACAAAAGCAAAGTCAACATTATTTAATAGTGGCCCTAAAGAAGGCTTTCGAAGCGTCCTCTACTTTAAATGAGATGGAATTCACTTTGATTCACTGGGTTTGGTTATAGCTTTTGTGTCTGTAGACGTGATGTGTTTCGTTTGCCCACCTGGTAATATGGAGCGTACGGGATTTTGGTGCACTGTTTGAGTGACAGTAAGTGTTTTGCTACTGCGACAACTCGTCGGAGTTTGAACTTCTCTTCTGGTAATAGTAGTACTGTGGACATATGACTTGCTAGTGTGGTGATTAGTTGTAGTACGGACCACTGAGCTAGAAACACTCGATGTCTTACTGCAACGTGATGACCCGCCGGAACCCATTGACTTGCCTGATGCACCTTTGGATGGCATGCCTGTTAGGTAGATGCATACGTCTGTCAAACTTTTGAATTTATATTATGGTGAACCAGTAACAGTATAGTACGCCGACAGCCTTGAGTTAACCAATAACGAATAAGACAACGCCTCTGCATTTTGCTGAAAATTTGAGGTACAGTGATGGATAACTTGTATGTTATTATCAACTGGGCAGACATCGGTTTTTAAAATACTTGAATCCAATATGGATATCTATTACATAGCCAAAAAGTAATTTCTGAATTGCCCTTGACCTAAATTACGAAACATATCTGCGTCGACACCATATTATGCCAACGACTTCCAGCCAAATGAACTGACACCTGCTAAGCTAATATCCCTATTATATATTTCAGGTAACCAGTGAAGACAAGTCGCGCAATGTGCATCTGCTGTATATTACGACTACTCCAATTTTCTGATTGTTATACGTTATTAGAAAAATAAAAACACTACATTATATCCCAAGCTGGCAACTTTGGGGAAATCCCCAAAGTGAAATAGCCTTCCCCAAAGTTTGGGGAAATTAACCGGATATCCGGTTAATACATACTTATTTGTTATGAAGATGATGACGGGGGCTGTGACACATCTAATGGGTCTGTCATCACATGTTCATTATGAAGGTAAGCGAGCGCGTAGACCGGTATACCACATAAGATGCCCTTATATCACTAGTATTCCATCAGGTGTATTCGAGGTATTGCTTGCATATCACAGGACATTCGAGTTAGCAACTGTGAGACTAGACGTAGAGATGGTGAGGACATGAACTACGCATGTCCGTCCACCGATTACCATGATGTTTGGCATAAGTTGTAAGAAGGATAGGGGAGCACCGACTTGTTTCATTTGGTAATGTTTACAAGGACCCGAGTCTGTAGATTTATTACAAGGAAAAAGATCCCATACTGTTTTAAAGTGTCACTTATTTTATGTGGACTAGATGCCAAGAAGCTCGTATTTGACAGATTTCTTTCAACGGTTAACTTGGTAAATCAAAATAGGATCAGATTTACAAATTTATTCAGGAACAATTTCGTTAATAAAGGGATATCAGATAAGCATTTACAACTTTCACATTGATAATGCCAAGCTGTAGCCTGCTATTTTTTCTGAAACTAAAATGGACATTCGGCCTGCTTTTTAGAAACTTCGGAGATGATTAGTACTGTTTTCCGTAAATAGTTCCATAGTTACATGATTCTGGAGAGAAACAGTTCGCATGTTCTGTGAGGGTTCACTCCTTTTTCATTCTAAATAAACAACTATTATTGGCTTTAGTCAACAATATGGACTTATCAGCGAACATTTCAACAACTTTCTCTTACTGTTCTTATACCACAAAAAAGAAAACTAATCAGTGCTCGTATACATACTTGTGAAGTAAGTAAATAAATAAATTAAATGTTCTTTTAAGCTAAGAATTTACACAACCGTAATTTACCAACATCATGTATATGAGTTAAAGATTAGGTCAGTCCTTACAACCTATGCAAAGCATTACACCTGTTACCCCTAGTCGACGAACATAGGCAGCCCACTGGCATTCTCCATCCCACTCTGTCCTGAACAGTCCTTTTCATGTCTGCTCCTAATCCCTGATGCGGTGTGTTCTTTGGCCTTCCTATTTTCCTTTAGGATTCCAAGTTAGCGCTTGCTTCGTTATGCAGTTTGATGATTTCCTCAATGTACTCGGTTACCATAAAATTACAATAGATGATGAAACGCTACCGCGTGAAGCGGAAAAGCCGAAAAGGTAAATTGTCCAACTTACTAAATCACATTTTTGTTAGGGCTGCTAAACGAAAATTTAACGATTATCTATGCACATTTGAAGAACTAGAGGTTAAAGCTGGGTTCGCCCCCCCTCGACTTTCCAGTTTTCAACGTTTTAACAGGAAATTTTTTGCCTATAGCGAAGTAGGTATCTATTTAACATATGCTCATAAAGCAGTTAATCGAAAACAGAGGTTTTCTCACCACTGATTCCATGTACATCAGCGGAAGTTAATAAAGCGTAAGTTGGAGTTAATGTAAACATGATAAGAAAAGGTTGTACAATGATGACACTGAACTGTCTAGCAAGATAGATAAACTGACCGCTTACAATGAACGCTCATTCATGGGTGTAAAGGACAGGTGTACCGACCAAGTAGACAATTCAACTATTGCTTTCCGATTAAGAACAAATGAGGAGTTGCTTTAGATGAGTTAAAGTTCAGTGATCAGTTCGTAAGTTGTAACAGGTGTTTGAACAAATTATAGGTGGCAAGATTGTACGAGTTTATATGTGATGACCCTCGTAAACCAGCAAAAGCCTGTCTAAGTTATCTGTTGTCGCCGGAACTGGCGAACACGTACACTTAACACGGAACGAAAAGTAAAATTGGTATTAGTAAGTACAAATTTTACCGGACGATTAGAAGTAAGACCGCATTACAGTATTAATATATTTGTAGGAGTCTTTTGTCCCCGATTCTGAAGTGCTACATATCCTGAAAAAGAAGTAGAGCACGCCATGGATGTTGCAAGCGAGGGTTTCTCGCACGACGCCAAAGATAAAGTTCAGAAGCGTGGATCGCGATCCGAAGAAACGGTGAGCTTAATTCACTTCAGAAGTCTGATTAAAAACGGTTTTTGTTAACATTTTAGTCTATGATAAACATTTACAGTAAAACAATTATTTATTGTCCATCTTCTTTTCAGCTGGCTTCGCAAGTTTTAACAGACGTAACTGTAAGTTTTTTTTGCTCGCATTATTAACAACATTGTTACGTCATCGAGGTTTTACATATCCTGACACTTGCTTGTAAACTAAAGAATATTTTTTATTTCTCTAGAACATTGTGAATGATAGTTCAACGTCTACGTAACGTGCTTACGTTACTAAGCAATGAGGAAAAGATGTATTAATGAATTATTTGTAATTTTATAAACCGTAATAAACATTTCAATGTGTCACGAATCAGTCTTTTAATTACAGCGATAGATCGATTAGCGTTAAGTTTCTTTGGCACTGCGTAATTGACTAGAAATAATGTAATATCGCAAGAAAAACTGTAGGTACTTATTCTCGTTTGGCTTTTCCATGACATCTGTAGAAATTTGTTGCGTTAAAAAGAGTTTGCAAAAGCTATAAAAGGATTATGGTGAAATTTTGAGAAAAAACGCGAAATCCAGGGGACATTTTGGGGAAAAACGGTAAGTTTCGGGGTTTTATTAGTAAATATAGGCCGATCGGCTTTGGGGAAATCGATTTCCTCAAAGTGTAATTAGATTCTGGGGAAATTTTGGGGTTTTTGTGCCATTTTCCCAAAACTTCCTATAGCGGCTTCACGGAAATTTCCCCAAAATTGGGATATTGGGTTATGTCGTTCTGCGTTTCAAACGTTGCTGAATTGTCTGCTTTTCGTCTAAATACACGCCGATTTATATAATTTGGCTCCGACTTTTAAAACACCTTTGGCATAACCCCGAACGTCTCCTATGTTCGCCATTATTTCCATAACACACCACACGAAAACTGCAATCGACTTTGAAAGTGGTATCTTTAGAGAAATTTATTGGAAAGGAAAAAACGTCATATGCTTTTCGGTCAACAGACATTCAATATCCTGCGTAGACAAGTGTTTATAAATACATGTACTTGTTTGATGATGGTTTTGATAGTTCTTTAAGTTTTAGCTCCGTACAGCAGAATTGTCTTGGTTTTCGGTTTCAGTTTGGGAAGGACAGGAGGCCCGATGGCCTGTGTTAGTCCTGGCAATGATGGTCCCTCAGTTGATCCAACTTTCTTTTGAAGGAATCGACGGATGGAGCCTCAACCACGTGCTGAGGTAATGATTTCCACTCGTTGATGATTCGATGGAAAAGTCGATAGTCAGCTGACAAGTAATTTGTTCTTGGCTTGTGAACTTTTTTGGGTTATCCTCGTAAATTCTGTTTTAGAAGGCAAGAAAAATGAGGGCATATCAGGTGCAATACATTATATACAAGCGTTTAGGACATTCTATGGATTCCTTGACAATCTTTTCTTCGTACAACTTTCTAGACTTACGGAGGGTCGAGGCACAAGTATTCCGGACTTTTCTATACTGGGATTTAGTTTCATCAGTCCACAGTAACCTAAATCTATCCCACATTTTTCTTCTCTTACAGAGAAGGATGCGGACCTCCCTACTGAGCGACGGTGGGAAGTTTCTCGGCCCCCTTGGTATAGTCCAAGGGATGTGGGGTGTGGTGACTTTCAAGTATGAATTTCGAAATGCGTCCCAGGCCGTTTCAATGGAGGACTCTGGGGCTATTGTCCAATCTACTAACGATGCTTAGTGCATGGTATCTGGTATATTTGCTTTCCAGACAATAGGTCTGGATTGGGATGACGCGTGCTCGTGACTGACAGTTATATGGAAGTCGAAAATTAAAACTGCGTGATCACTTTTACCTAGGGGTGGCATATAATGAAGGTTCGCAACGTCATCCACATAGTGAGTGAGTATCAGATCTAGTAAGGATTATTCAGCGTCCGGGTCGTACCTAGTCGCTTCTTTCACATGTTGCACTAGAGCAAATGTGATAACCGCATCAACTAATTCCTGCTCGAAGGAATTTCCTGAAGATTCAGTTCGCAGACTTTCCCAGTCTATCATAGGTGCATTAAAGTCCCCTAGGATTAGACATCGACCACTTTGTGACCAAGTATTGAGACGGCTTAGCAGGACTTCATTTACCTCACAGCTTGGACTGCGATAGACCAAATCAATCAGCAGCTCTTGTCCCTTGCATTTCAAGCGAAGACTAACTAATTCACACGTCCCACTCTCATGGGATACACTGTCGATAATGGCAAATGAAATAGCATTCCTAATGAATAGAGCTACTCCCCCTCCTTTAAGCTTTTGTATTCTGTCGGCCCTTACTAACGTAAAACCCTCGAAATCAAGTTCCATACTATCTATAGCCTGTGTCAGCCAGGTTTCTGTGACTGCGATAATTTCTGAATTTGTAGAGTCAATCTGTACACCTAGTTCCGATCGCTTATTAATTAAGCTCCGGGCATTAGTGTAGCAGATCCGAAGCCTATTTAAGTGGCTTCGTGCTTCACCCAGAGTGGCCTCGGCATCATTCTCTGTCGAAGCCTTACAACCCGAAAATTCACAACTTTTAGGTCCTTTTCTCCAGCGTCTAACCTAAGTTGTAGTTCTTTTTCGGCTTCCCATCTTTTTACACGGTCTGCCAACGGTAAGTCCTTTCGTATAAAGACTCCTGAACCCTTTAATTTGTGTCCATTCTGTAAAATTAGGTCACGTTCGTTCGAAGAGTTGAATGCTACTTTAAGCAGTCCGGAATGATTTGGTTTCAAGTTTGCTAGACTCCCTACTCTGTACACCTTTATCAAGGTGACCCCGGTGATATTTTGAGGCATGAGTTGACTAAGCAGCTGCTTAATGAGCACAATGTCATGCTCAAAACGAGCTTTAGGTTCAGAGCTCTCGCTCTCCTTGGTTCTATGAAAAATAGCTGATCTGTCGCTATGATCAGCTTTTGATTTTACGACTACTTTCGCGGGGGTAGGATTACATTTTATATCGCTACTTCTTTTCTTCCTTACAACCTGTACCCACTCTTCAACGGTGCTGAGAGAAGAAACAACAGTCGCGTCAAACCTAGTGTTGGATTCTGGAGGGTTGTCGACGACCTGAGAGGTCAGGTTATGTTTACCGCTTGAAACCGATCAAGCCTTGCGATTGCAGCTTCTAGGCGTTTCCTGTGAGATCCCATCTGGGAGACGAGGACCAGAAGAACTTACTTTCCTTGAGTTTTTGTTTAAGGCAGGCCTCTTTGGAGACTGCTTTTCCTTCTTTGACCGGCGTGAGTCATTTACTATCGAACTAACCTTAGTTTGCTTCATTTCGATTTGTGTGTCGACAGATCGAGTGCTGTTTGACGTGTTCCGACTACGCTTGCTAAAACACTTCCTTGCAGCAACCCTTCTTACTGAACCGTTTGAGAGCCGCAGGCGTTAAATTCGTGCAAACTTCGTGGTACCAGCTTTTGCACTCGTCGCACTGCATGCCGCTTTCAACGGGATAATGACAAGCCGGACGTTGGCAACTGCTTGTTTCACACTGTCCGGTCATTTAAAAGGAGTCCTTTTCAAAAAGGAACGTGATGCGATGATACTCAGAAACAAAAAATAATTAATGACCAAAAAGCGAAGAACTGTAGATTGTTAGGACCTAAAGTACTAACAGATACAATTGAAAATGAGGTGCTCAAGAGTACCAACGACAAAACTAATTGAGAGAACGGTAAAAACGGTACTCTAGTCGAATACTTTAACTGAAATGAATTCAATCAAAGTGAAAACAGTAGTCTTGATACGTAATAAACGATAAAAAATTGAAGTTTACTCAGCGAGAAAGAATACCACTGTCCTTTTCAAATAGCACATATATTGGAGATTCTGACTTTGATATTAGTTGTTTAGAGTTCCATATGTTCTTCAACTGTAGGAATGCGGCCCTTGTTTTGCCAATATTCGCCTTTAAGACTGTATCGGATCCTCCACGTTCATCTATGATACTATCCAGGTACGTGAACTTTTCCACCTCTTCCAGAGTTTCTCCATCAAGTGTGACTGGGTTAGTTATACTGTAGTGACTTACTTTTGTCACGAGAACTCGATTATTTCAATGAAAACAATTATTATTATAACCATTTTTGCCAGTGATTGTTTTACTGTGCTCGTTTGTTTACCCGTGCTAATGACAGACAGGGTGCTTTTAAACGCAACTCAATTTCGTAAATGTGGCATCCAGCTTAGCAACCAATTAGAATGAGGCGGGAATTATTATATCCGCCATCTTTGTAAGCAATGGCGGTCGGCTTTCTTCGTTCTGTGCTTCTTTCAGCTATTT